AAAGCCTGGAGAGCTATCTGTAATTCACTCAGCCCCTAAAAGACTAGGATCTATAGGGACGAGGTCCTGTCCTAAGGAAAACTACCCTGCAACTTAGGGGGGATGACGATGCCCATACCCACCCACCCACCCACACCCACCCACCCACCCACCATCCCTAGGTAGTGTCTTGGTGGTCCAGGACCCTTTGCAAGCCCCTGGCCCTCTCCCTCCAGGTTGCAAGCTGCTCAGCAGGGGGTTCCTGCAGATAGAGCCAGAAGGGTGGAGCTGCTGGGAACTGGTTCTTGTTTAAATATAAACCCATCCGATAATTAGCAAACAGCCCACTTCTAAGACAAACAAATAGATTTGGGCTCCACCAGCCCCACCCTATCTATACTCCTCCCTTCCCACCTAGCAGCTGTAGGGGGGAGGGGAGAGAGCTTTCCAAGGGCCCTGGGGGAAGAATCCTCAAAGCACCAGACCACCTGGCTTGGAGTTGGCCTCTGGGTAAGGAAGGGAACTTCTCTGAGGATAGTCTCCTCCCCACCAGACCGGATCCTGGAGCTTTCCCGGCTGCCGCCTTAGTTAGGCTACTGCGGGCTCCTGTTAGCCTCGCAGAGTTCCTCCTTCCTACCCACCAGGAACCGGGGCCTGGAAAGGCTAATCTTGAGTAAGTCCGCCAAAGACAAGAGAAAGAGGTGGACTCACACCTCTGGAGTCCAGCAGCGTGACCCCAAGCCACCGTTCCAGGTGCCCTCCAGCCCATCACAGGAAGCAAGGAGTGGAGCCTGAGAACTCCAAATCCCACAGTCAAGTCAGAGCTGCCCCAGCAGCTTTGCCCTGAACTCAAACCTGCAGCAGTCTTGCTTTTGCTTTAAGGAAAAAGAAAAGAAGGGTGGGAAGCTTAATCTCCACTGTAGATGTCTAAAGGCCAATTCTGAGGACTCTACCCTGTCAAGAGTCCAGGATGCAGGGGAGGCCTGGGGCCTAGTAGCAGTATTTCCTTATTGTTCCCTTGAGGCTTTGGACAATCAAATGCTGACAATCTTTAATAGGCTCCCAAAGTGTTAGGGGGAAAAGGGGTTGCCCTATAACAAAAGGATAAGATAAAACTCTGGGAGCCCATTCCAACACCCCCACCAAGGCCATCCTATTAGCCTAGAGGTTGACAGGAAATGGGTGACTCAAGCAGGCCACTACCACTCTCTTGCAGTGACTCACGGAGCACAGGCCAGCCCCTTCCCCCATGGTAAGTGGTCATTTGGAGCACACCCTCCAGTCCAGAGGCTGAGGGCAGTGAAGAGTCAATTCCCCCCAAGAGGGAGCTGGGGCGGGAAGCCAGCCTGGCTCCCAGCTCCTCATTCAGCCACTCCGCACTGCGAGTCCTTGGAAGAGGCCTCTGTTTCCAGGCACTGGGGATGGCAAGAGCTGAATGTCTCCATTCCCCTCAGCTTCTCTTCTTGGTCCAGCTCTTCCCAGGAGGCCAAGAAAAGCCCCATCCAAGGGCCCCGGGCAAGACCCTTGCTTTGGTCCAATCACCTCACAGAGTTGGGGACACCAAGACTCAGAGATAGGGCACATGCACTCAAGGTCACTCGGCAATTCAGAAGCAGACCCAGGTATCTATCTACCTGCAGCCCAAGTCCATGTCTTCATCTGGAATATTCTGAGGACACTCACACCAGGCACCTGTTTCTGCTCTCGGTGAACGACTCCATTCTCTGAGCATTAGTTTCCCATAAACGTGAAGCTAACACTGACCTCTCACAGCATCACCACAAGCCTTCACAGTGTAGTAAATAACCCCACCGCACCGTGTTTATCCATCCACTCATACACACGCTGCCCAACACCAAAGTGAGCACAGGTATTTCATTAAAAGCCGATAGAGCAGAGTTCCGGCCCTGGGTGTGTGTGGGTGGAAGAGGGTGTGGGGAATTTGGTGGAGCATGTTAATTCCTCCTGAGCCATAAGTTTCTACTGGGAGGGAATGCCTTTATGATTTCCACAGTCCCCTTCCAACAGCAAGTATTTAATTATTAATAGAACAGCAGAGGTGGCAAGGGATTTCAAGGTCTTGCAGTTCAAGCCCCTGTTTTACAGTTGGGGTGGGGGTAACAACCTAGAGAAGTTAAGGGAGGGACCCAACCTCAGGGAATCCTCCAAACGCAGACCCAAATATTTTACCGGGTATCTGGTAGCACTCAGGGCTTTTTAGAAGCCCCAAGAGCTCTCATTGGCCACTCAAGGGTCCTAGACCCCCTGGGCTTCCGCCCCCACCCTTCTGGGCAATCAAGGGGAGAATTCTGAAAGAGGTCAGCAACGTCTCTAAGGCAAAGTACACCCTGTGGGTGGGGCCACTTCCCCCAAATGGACTGCGCCTAGTGCAAGTCAGGGGCTGTGGCCCCTGGGCAGCAACTCCTCTGGGGGTGGGGGTCAGGCTCCTAAAACAAGGCTGCTTTTAATTGGCCAGGGAGGGAGTGGCAGGGAGGCAGATCAGGGAAAGCTCCCAGCTGGACAGGAAGAACTGGTTTAGGATGGCAAGCTGGGCCAAACAGAGGAAGGCTAGGGCTCAGCCTGGGTTCCCTCCCCAAAACTATGGCACTAAGGGATGGGGGTACCTACAGGGAGGGCAGGCCTTTGGCTTAAACCTAAAATTTGGGGAGGGACCCAATGGCACTCCTGGGGGGGTGGTAGGCTGCGTACTGGGCAGGGCTCCTGCTGGCCTAGAGGCTCTGTGACCACAGCAGTGGCCCTCTTAGCTCTCCCGGCTCCCTCATCTGTAAAATGGGCATCACCGAATCCCCACCTGCCAGGCTTTTGTGAGATAAAATGCGTCAGACCTACATATGGAATGTTCTCTATAAATCAAAACTGTCAGGAGCAAAAACCCCAGGCTCAAGACCTCAGATTTCTCCACCTGCAAAAAGAAAAGAGCCGATACGCAATCTCACTGGTCTAATCCAACTGTGACTAGGTCTGATTTTTCCGGCTACAGCGCTGGGAGGAACGCGATGGCGGGAGGCAAAAGGGGAACCAGTGACCTAGTTAGAGGTGGAAGGTCTGTGACATTAGCCAGGAAGGGCAGCGCCGAGGTCAGATCTAGAGAGTCGGGGCTCCTCTCTCAGGAAACAGCTGCTCCCCAGCTGATGGGTCACCAGGTGCAAGACCCACACAGCCCCCTTTCTCAACCCACATCCTTCTGATGGCCCTGGGTACAGCTGTCTGCGCCTCACCGTGAAGCACCTGCAGGCTCAGCAGCCGCTGAGTGGGGACTGGCATGGCACTGACCTCCCAGGCAGTGACCTCGCAGCCTCCTGGGTCTCTCCTTCCCCACAGTGGCCAGGCCACCCGGAGCCAGCGTGGCATCAAATGCTTCCCTGACTGCCTGGCTCCAACACAGCCCGCAGGACCTGGTTCAGAGCACCACACCAGGGCTCAGCAGGCCTGAGCTCCAGTTTAGACTCAGCCACTACCCTGCCGGCAAGGTGGCCGAGAGTTCGCAGAAGTCACGCCTCACTGGGTCTGTGTCTTTCCACCTCAGAATCCCTTGAGGCAGGTCAGCCCCACATCTCAACAGATTCCAAGCTAGTCCTGAGTTCCCCAAAGGCGGATACAGACAGCCGCCCCAGCAGCAGCATCACACTACAAGGGAAGATAAAAGGGGAGCGGGAACTTAGAAGCCTGGTTGCCCAAATTTGAGTCTGACTCAGCCCCTGGTGAGCTGCATGGCCTTGGGCAGGTGGTTCACCTCTCTAGCCTCAGGACCAGTTTAAGGACAGTTAAGAGCAGGGCTGGTGTCAGAATCAAGCTAGTTGATAGCATCACTAGAAGACTCATCAGAAAACTATTAGAACAAGAGCCACGGGACACGGTAAGCGCTAGACGTTTGCCACGCGCCACTGCAAGTTCTGGACAGTTACTGCTCAGGATTTAATTCATTCCAAAAGAAGCCTGCCAGGGGCAAATGGCCTTCCCTTAAGTTAGCTCAGGGAAATAAGAGCCCCGTAAAAGAATTGGCATTAATGATTAAAAAACAGGGAATCCCCCCCTAAAAAATGGGGTTTAAAGGCATAAAGGGGGGGCACAAAGTCCAGCTTCCTGGAGTGGTAGATAGCCTCTCCCCAATTCCTGTGCTTCCCCCCTCCCCAGTGAGGATGCTTCCCCCGCTCCCCACCCTCTACCCCAAGCTGGCAGCTGGGCTGGATGGAGTTTCTGGTGGCCCAGGACTTTGAAAACGAGGGCAGGGACCAGTGGGCAGGGAGAAGGGAAGCTTTCTCAAGTTCTCAGAGCTCCCTGAGGGCTCCCCTTCTCGAATTCCCTTCACCCCACTCCAGGCGTCCGTGTCTCCCTCTGCCCTTTGCAGAAATAAACACCCTTTCTGCAGAAAGCAAAGGCTCAACTCCTGTCTCCCTTGAAAGTTCGGAGTCCCTGAAGAAAGCTCAGCGGGCACCTCCTGCGCCACTGATGCAGGTGGGGATACCGAGACTCGCAGGGGCAGGGCCTTCGCCAAGTCACGAGCCAGTGGCGGGGTCAGGGCCAGTTCTGGGGGCAGCCAGAGTTCAGTTCGCCCCCACCCCAGTCCCGTGCGCAACCAGGCCCAGCAGAACCCTAGACCCTCCCCCCTTCCCAGCACAGGCCCCCTCAGATCCCGGGGCTGCTGACTCCCAGAACCCACAGAGGGCAGGGAGGGGCCTCGGGGCCCCCAGACTGTCCCTGGATCACCAGGGCAGGGGTGCGGAGGGAGAAGGGGTGACACGATTTAGCCAAGCCCCAGCCTGGAGCCCCTGGCGGGCAGAGGGGAGGCGGGAAGAGCAGCAGGCTGGCAGCCCGGGGCGCGGGGGTGCCGCCTCCCTCCCAGGCGCCCCGCGACCCCGGAGCCAAGTTTCCAACAAAGTTTCCCCGCTTCCGTGTCCAGCTGGGGGCGGCGCAGATCCCCGGGCACCCCTGTCCCAGGTCCCCGGAACAAAGCGGGCAGCGGTCCGGCCCCTGTCCCCGCAGGACGCCCGAGCACCTACCGACTCGGCGCCGGCGGCCGGGGCGCCCACGAGGAGCAGCGCGAGCGCGAGCAGGAGGGCTGGGGCCATGGTGCCGAGCCGGGCGGTGGGGCGCAGGCTGCCAAGAGTGGCCGGGCCGGCTCGCGGCCCTTCTTATAGGCGGCCCGCCCCGCCCCGGCCCGCCCCGGCCCGCCCCCGCGGCCCGCACCCCGCCCGGAATTCCCCCGCGAAAGCTGGGCCTCGGGGCGCAGCGTCTGCCGAGGAGCTGGAAACCCCGAGGGACCCGCCCTGGGCTCGCGGCCCGACTTCCAAACACCCCATAGTCCCGGTCTTCCAGCAACCCCAAAGCGCATCATTTATTGGGTACCCTGCCTAGGCAGGTCCGCAGAGATCGCTGAGGCGCACCCCATTTTGCAGCAAGGGAAACTGAGGCCCAGGGAGAGGACGGACTTGTCCAGGGGCTTCGGTTTAGATCAGCAAGCTTCAAACCGAATGCGCTCCCCTCTGGAGGTGCGAAGACTCTCCACATGGAGGGTGGACACCCCTAGTTTTCAGGGAACAGCAAACTTTTTTGGTAAAGAGTGAGATGTTTCAGGCTCTGCGGATCCCCTAGCCAGCAGCCTCCAGCGGGTTGCTCCAAGGCAGACAGAAAGACTTAAAAGAATGTGCGCGGTGTGTCCTAATGAAACAGTATTTATGGACACTGAAATCTGAATTTCACTTAACTTTCACAGACTATTCTTTTAATTTTCTTTCAACCATTTTATTTTTTAAAGACTTTTTATTAATTTTTAAGATTTATTTATTTATGCATACAAGAGCTGGGGTACAGGCTACTGGTGCGGGGGGTGAGTCACCAGAGACAGAGCGGGGAGCAGAACAGGCAGACTGATGAAATACACTGCTGAGGGGAGCAGCGGGCGAGACAGGAGAGCTCTGCTGCGCCATGTGGGACCCTCCCCTGGCAGCCAGGGATCAAACGCATGCTATAGAGGCTGAGGGTTGCTTCATAGTGCTGTGCTTAACCCCTTGCACCACCAGGGAGGCCCAAAGATTTATTTATTTTTATACTTTTTTCAACCATTTTAAAATGTAGAAACCATCAGCTGAATAAAAAGCAATGGACAAGGCAGACTTTGGTCTCAAACTGGCTGACTTCTGTTTTAAAGAATCCCTTTTCTGGGTTTCAGACCTCCTAAAAAGTTTGATCATTCTGAGAACTGGTCTGCAAGTTATCTCCATACTCAAATCTGTTGCCACCCTTTGAAAAAGTAAATGTGAGTCTGTCTTACCCCTGCATTGGAACAGTGGGGTTGGGGGTAAAATCCTTTGGACCCCAAAGGATTAATTGGGGGACTGGAAGAGAGGGTAACTTCCCTGACCTTATCTCTCCCTGAAAAAAATAGTGTGTGTGTGTGTGTATCTATACAGAGAAACATAAATCAACATAGATATATTTAGATGTATGTATGTATATATATCTATGCGTGGCTTCAGAATTAAGGTATTTTGGCCTCTGTTGTTATGTTATAAATTCATGTACTTTATGGAGTGGAGAGTTGGAAATGACTTCAGATGTCCATCATGTTAACGCCCCCCCCCCTTTTAAGGGTAATCAGTCATTTTCAGCTATTCTTACTACTCTTCCATAGGATTTGGAAATAAACTGAAAAAACACAAGATGTTCATATCGGAGTAGGAAATCCTTTTGCAAGTCAGATGATTTTTGCTATATTTGCTTTCCACAGAATAGTAGGAAGGCCTAATCTAGTTGCCAGTAGATTAGGTCATTAAAAATAATTTTTTAAAGAGTTATTTTTATTTATTTATGCATATAAGAACAGGGGTGTAGGCCAGACATGCGGGGTCGAGGAGAGGATTCACCTGAGAGAGTGGGGAGCAGAACAGGCAGATCTACTAAAATACATGGCTAAGGGAAGCAGCGGGTGTGACAGGAGAGGGCGCCCTGTGGGTCAGCTCCCTGGCCCAGATCCAACTCATGCTGCAGTGGCTGTTGATAGCTTGATAGCACTTAGACTTTAACCCTTGCTCCACCAGGGAGGCCCCAAGTTTGTGGGGTTTTAACCCCAGCTCCTTGGATTGGGGACAAGATTGCATGGATAGTCACTATTTCCTTAGATTAGGTGTCTTGATATAAATTTCCCCAGGACAAGAAACTTTGGATTCTCTCTCTAGATCCATAAGAAAGTGCTGGTCCCCAAGGGGTTAAAAGCAATTTGACTAAGTTTCTTTACAAATTTCAAATGTGTTCTTCTTGGCTACAAAAAGCAAAATGTCTGTAGAACTGAACTGAAGTCCCCAATTGCCTACATGGGACACAAGTAAGAAAAATAAAAATCTGAGATAATAAATGATTCTGGCCCCTACAATGCCTAGTTTTTCTCCTCAGTTTCGTATCTCTCATTCCACTGTGTCCCTAACACCCTGCAAAGATAATTGATGTCTCCGGCCTCCCTGGTGGTACAAGGGGTTAAGATGCAGCCTATGAAGGTATCCACCGCAGCCACTGCAGCACAAGTTCGAACCCCAGCTGGCCAGGGCACAGCAGACCTCTCCTATCTCGCCTGCTGCTCCCCTCAGCAGTGTATTTCAGTAGATCTACCTGTTCTGTTCCCTACTCTGTCTCTGGCGAATCCTCTCACCCCCCCACCTCTGGCCTGTACCCCAGTTCTTGTATGCATAAATAAATAAATATTTTTTAAAAAAAAAGATAATTGATGTCTCAAGTGAAGAAAGAAAAAAAAAAAAGCCAAACAAAATCACATGGGTTTTAGAGCCAGAAATTCTCTCCTCCTCACCCCTTACATCCCTGTGACCCTACTTCCCCCCTCACCCCACCCTCCTCCCTCAACCTCAGAAACCTCACTTCATTAATTCGTATTTGCTAGTTTTTGTAAGTATTTTGCTTTGTTGAATCATCTGCTATGTAAACGTCTTTGTCATCCTGGCTAGCTTTACTGCATCATTCCTTAGAACTCCTTCCATTTGGCTGTATATAGTAACCTTTTGTCTTTCCTTATGACTAAATAAAATTGCATTGTGGGAATAGACCAGGGCAGCAGCTTGCACCCGATAAAGGAGCTGAGACCTGGTCTAGAACAGGGTGAAGCTGCCCCCACCTTCTCTCTGGACTCCTAAACCAGAACTAAGAAGGCTGGTTCATGCCCGGCACATCCAGAGACACCAAGCCCAAGAGACAGCCAATCCTCCCTGGATAGCCCAGGAAGGATAGCCTCCTTCTCCAGGAAGCCTGCTCCAATCCCTCACTGCTCCTTCTAACTCCCATCTCTCCTCGCCCCCAGACCACTAGTCCTCCAGCTGTCCCTCTGCTTTGGCAGGCAGCCTTCTCTCAAACTGTATTAAGAACTCAGGATTAGGGCCTCCCTGGTGGCGCAAGGGGTTAAGTGTCAGTGCTATCAAGCTGTCCTTTGCCACTGCAGCACGAGTTTGATCCCCACAGGCCAGGGAGCTACCCATATGGCACAGCAGACCTTTCCTGCCTCTCCTGCTGCTCCCCTCAGCTGCGTAATTCAGTCAGTCTGCCTGTTCTGTTCCCCACTCTGTCTCTTGTGAATCCTCTCACCCCCCACACCTTTGGCCTGTACCCCAGTTCTTGTATGCATAAATAAATAAATCTTTTTTAAAAAATTCAGGATTAAGAGCACAGCCTTCAGGGTCAGAGCCATCTGGGCTACAATCCTGACCTGGGGCAGGATGTTATGTGCCTCAGTTTCCTCGTTTGTAACTTGAGAGTCATTCTAGTTCCATCGTGAGTGTTGAGACTGTGGTGCTTAGCACACCTACGGGGCACACGTACATTTTCTCCACGTCTATGCTCACAGAGACTTGAGTTATTCCCCTGCCCAATAACTCCTCACACATAGCAAATAATAGGTCATCATGTCTCTATTTTCAGAACTGCTGGCAGAGTGGACTGTGGGGCTCCTTCCCAGGTTGGCACCAACCCTCTCTAGCCTTCCTTGCTCCATGCAAATCTCCCTCCTTCCAGATAATGAGAGCTTGGTGTTTCCAGAGGTGGTGGCATGTCCAGCCACTGCCTTGCATAACCACAAAACTGGGAACTTCCATCCCAGACCTCTCCACCCAACAGCACCCCCATTGTAACGGAGGCAAACCAAGGTCCATGTAATGAGTCAGCATCCACTGAGATGTTTTCAGGAATTCTAAAAATAGCCCTCATCCTCCCAGTCACTCCTCTCCTTTCCTTTTTGCCAGAGCACGTTCCCTACCCGACTTCATGTCTTTATTCCTCCACTTCTCCATCCTTTCGCACTGGGTGTCAGCGCCACGAGAGCCAGGACATTGTCATATTCATGGCTGTATCCTTAGCACTTGCCCCAAATCTGCCACAAGTCGACATTCATTTAATGTCTGCTATGTGGATAAACAGATGACTGCCATTTGGATGTTTTTCTCTAGAGCCTCGGCCGTGGAAATGGACTTATTTGGTCATTCATACAATAAACGTGTGTGTGTGTGTGTGTGTGTGTGTGTGCGCGCGCACGCGTGAGAACTGGGGTATAGGGGCCTCCCCTGGTGGTGCAGTGGTTGAATGCTGGGCTGTGAAGCTGCGCGCAGTCTCTGCAGCACCGGTTCAATCCCCGGCTGCCTGCGAGGGTCCCACATGGCGCACAGACCTCTCCTGCCGCACTCCCTGCTCCCCTCAGCAGTGTATTTCGTCAGTCTGCCTGTTCTGTTCCCCGCTCTGGCTCTGGTGAATTCTCTCACCCTCCCGCGCTTCTGACTGTACCCAGTGTTTGTATAAATAAATAAATAAATAAATAAATAAATAAATAAATAAATAAATAAATAAATCTTAAAAAAAAAAAAAAAGAACTGGGGTATAGGCCAGAGGTGTGGGCGATGGGGGGTGTGGGTCAGCTCCCTGCCCGGGGATTGAACTCAGGCTGTAAAGATGATAGAGCTGAGACTTAACCCCTAGGTCACCAGCAAGATCCAAAAGGCTAGAAGTCTTTTGGTAAAATCCTGGTGGAAACACCAATTTGCTCTTAAGCAGCTCCCTGATGAATGAGCAATCGCCACCAGTGGTTAAGAACTAGCAACCAAAC